CGCGGCACCTTGAGCCTGCTGGTGCCCGTCAGTGCCGCGGCACCTTGAGCCTGCTGGTGCCCGTCAGTGCCGCGGCACCTTGAGCCTGCTGGTGCAGATTGAGAGATGCATTTTGCCCATCGTTCAATCAACGAGTGTGTTTCTGCTGATGCTCGCAAAGCCCTTGAGGTGCTTTTCTGAACCCCGCCCCCGCAGCTCAGCCCGTTCGTGTACAGCGAGTTTGCCCGGGAGCGGAACCTGCACGTGTCGCTGCTGGACCGTCTGTACGAGCACTACCCCGCAGAATACCCCTGCCGCATCATGCTGTGTGAGAACTACCGCTCCCATGAGGCCATCATCAGGTAAGGCGCCTGACGCCCCCAACCCCCCACCCACCACTGCTCCCGAGATGACCCGCATCTGCCCTCCCCCCTGTGTCGTTCCGGTGTCTGGCAGCTCTTGTTCCCATGCTCGTTCCCAAAAAGTTAAGTCTTTGGAAGTGAAATGGAATGCGCAGACTGACCTTGATTTGTCTGCCGAAGTGTTTAAAGGATAATTAATACAAAGGCTGTGTGGATGAAGGAGGGGGGAGCGGGGGGCAGCCCGCTCGCATGCGCACGCACGCACGCACACGCACACGCACACGCACACACACGCGCACAGAGCATCTGTTTGCCCTGCCGCTTTTTGCATAAAATCTGCATATCTATCACCTATCAACACATTCCGCCTGCATTCTGACAAATTAACGGGTCGCTTTTCTGTGAGAGTGGCGCCGCTCCCGCGGAGGGCTGGGCCGCTGTTTGTGCGCGGGGGGGCGTGCGTGTGAGCCTCCCTCGGCTCTGCGGGCACAGCCCGCCACAAACAAAGGCATACAGGCAGCAAGGCCCTCGGCGGATCGCGGGGCCACACCCTGCGGGATTCTCACGCACTGCGGCCGGTCGTTCCAGCCGGTCCTGATGCGGTACAGTGGTAAAATAGCGGTTGGGTGCCGGGTGTACGTGTGATGTGTGGGTGTAGGTAGCCCGTCCCCAGCTAACAGCGGCCGTTACTCCAACAAAGCGGGTTAATTGCCTTGGGAAATAAGGCTTGGGGGCAAAGCCACTTAGTCATACTGTTAATTTCAATGCTATGTTATGGTTTCCTTCTCCTGGTGTCAGTTATCATGCTAGCCGGGTATGGCTAACTCCCTCCCCCCCCCGCCCCCCCAGCTATACATCAGAGCTGTTCTACGACGGCAAGCTGATGGCCAGTGGGAAGCAGCCCTCTCACAAAGACTTCTACCCACTGACCTTCTTCACCGCACGGGGGGAGGACGTGCAGGAGAAGAACAGCACCGCCTACTACAACAACGCCGAGGTAACCACGTCTGCTCAGCTCAGCACGTGGAATGTTCTGGAAGAGACCGCTGGCGTCCGTTTTGCAAGTGTGAGCTGTTATTTAGCAGCTGGGAGCTTTCCAAGAAATAAAACTCTAATGTTCTCATTTAGGAGTGACATTTATCTCAGGATCACTTGATGAAAAGCCAGATGAAGATCTTCACCATTTCCAGCTGTTTTTTTGGGTCGTGTCCCCCCGCCCCCAGTCACAGGCAGAGATGGGTGTGTGTCCCGTCTCCACAGGTGTTTGAGATCGTGGAGCGGGTGGAGGAGATGCGGAAGAAGTGGCCGGTGGCCTGGGGAAAGCTGGACGAGGGCAGCATTGGCGTGGTGTCCCCTTACGCCGACCAGGTCTTCCGGATCCGGGCCGAGCTGCGAAAGAAGAGGATGCCGGAGGTCAGCGTGGAGAGGGTGCTGAACGTGCAGGGTGAGCCGCTGGGGGGGGCCGAGGGACCTTACGCACCGTTCACACGCGGGTGACGAAGGGTTGCCAGAAATTGCCAGCACTACTGCCGCACGCTAATTAATGACAGCTGCCTCGGTCTGTTTGAGCTCCTATTGGGCTCAGGGTGTTTCCCATGTGCAGTGTGGAGGAGGCTGCAGCAAGAGCAGATAGATGTGAGGAGTCACTCATGAGGACAGGCCAGCATGCATCTCTGTGCATAATCGAGGCTCTTTATTGACCTTAACAGAGACAAGGCTCAGACGTGCCTCCAAGCTCTGTTAGAAAGTAATAAAGAGGAGTCGTGGAAGAGAGCCAGAGACTCTGTAGAGGAAAGGTGTGACGCCCTGGGGGTGGGGGGTGTCTCCGCCTTCAGGCAAGCAGTTCCGGGTGCTGTTCCTGAGCACGGTACGCACGCGGCACACCTGCAAGCACAAGCAGACGGCTATCAAGCGCAAGGAGCAGCTGGTGGAGGACTCCACGGAGGACCTGGACTACGGCTTCCTTTCCAACTATAAGCTGCTGAACACGGCCATCACACGGGCCCAGTCCCTGGTGGCTGTGGTGGGAGACCCCATTGCGCTCTGCTCTGTGGGCAGGTGCAGGTCAGTACCTTTTTCTTGTATATTTGAACTTTTGCCCTGTCCTCCCCCCCCCCCCCACCCATATGTCCAAGGGCCTTTGAGGCTCAGGCTTCTGGTCAGGTGTCTGAACCAGCCAAAGGCCGGCATCCCTCTTGCTGCCTCTCGTTTACTGAGAGATGGGGAGGCGGAGCTTCCTCATAGCGGGGACCCTTTTTATCATCATTACCTGCTGATGCTAACAGAAGCTCCCAGTTTAGGGCCCGCACAGTCCTGCCAAACGCACGACTCCGCTGGTCCCGGTCCAGTGCGGAAACCCTGTCGGCTGGTCTCCTGCAGCAGGCCTGGCTGCGGTGGGGACACAGAGGACCTGCTGGACAGGAACCGGAAGGTGGCAATTTGTGGCAATATGCCGGGGTAATTTGTGGGGGGGGAGGGGGGGCTGGTTCTGAGTTGCTGGAGCAGTTTAATGTTGGGGGGGGGGGGGGAGTGGATTCTGAGCCCTAGCTGGCCTGAAGGACACATTCCTCATTTGTAAACTTAGGCTGCTGCAATTTTCCTGGTTTGGGGGGGGAGGCTGGCGGGCTGGCACACACTGGTCCCAGCTGCAGCGCCCCGGTCACCATGGAAACTGCCATTTGTCAGCCAATCGCAACTCAGCTGGTGGTGGCAGTTTCGGAAATGTCAGCCAGAGAGGCTCCAGTCGAATCCTCGTGGGTAATATGGGGGGGGTCGGGCAGGGTTGGCCCACAGAAGCGTGGGGGGGGCACCCGTCGATCACACTCATCTTTTCAAAACAGGACGGAAGCTTGCGGATGGGTAGAGACAGGGCATTGCTGCGTGTTGGGGTGACCACCCCCTACAGGGATTCCCAGGAGTGTGTCTGAACTTTCTTACTGGTGCCAGAACTGTGGTGGATTGCTGGTACTGTAAAATGACAGCTCACGCTTCCCGTAATCCCCCAGAGCATTAACGCTCACACCGCCGCTGGCCTGAATCATGCAGGGTCGAAAGATGCAGTGAAAAGGTGTGATGATGGGCAATTAAGTCTTAAGAGCTCGGGGATGGATGAACCGGATCTTACAGGCCGCCGCGGATCGATTCCCGCGTACGGAGTGGGACTGCGAACGCCACTGGCCTCACTGCCCCGCGGCGACAGTGCAGAGCCTTGGGCACAGTGCCGACCAGACCTCCCTCTGCACAAAATACCCTCAGGAATTGTTTGCCTTGGTGATTCTGCTGTGAAATACCTGCCTTGTTCTGCTGCCTCTTTTGTCCTTCTCCCTCTGAGCGTCCGCGGTAAGGCGGTATGGAGGTCTCATTAAAGCACCATCACCAAGCCCTTTCTGTTACAGTTTTCCTTTGCTTCCGCCGGCTGTTTGAGCGCGAGTCTGTCTCCAGGAGGCTCTTAATTGTGTATTTTCAGCGGCTCCTCATGAGCTCGCCTGCGATATTCTTTATGAGTGAGCCTTACGCTGACATGCCCGCACCCCTCCTTAAATACTGCTCGCCCGTCTCGTTGGTTTCCCTTATATCCCCCCCCCCCACGCTTAAGGATGTGGGGGTGTACAGCAGTGCACGTCATCCCAGAAGTGGCCCTGCCCAGCACATCAGACAGAAGCAGTCACCGCTGTAAGCCGTGCAATTACGCTGCCCTTTCGCTGACCTTAATTACGGTGATGTCACCGTGATACGTGCGCTTTATTTATGGCCGCACATGTTGTTTTGAAAAGAAGTGAAAGAGGGATCCCTTAATAAATATCCCTGTGAGTTTTGGAAAGTGTCAGTAATTGGGTTTGTGTCCACCTATGTTCTGTACTGCTGAATGAGTGTGGGGTTACGGGGAGGTTGGGGAGAATCCCATGGGACCCCAGTCCATCATGAGGGACACATACACACACAGAGCTTAGAGACACTGTGTTTCTGGGCTGTAGGCAGAAAGCAGGGTATCTAGAGGAAACACTCACCCGGAAGCCTTAGGTTTACAGTGGCACTTATGAAGGGGATTTAGTTTAATATACAGTTGGTTTCTTAGTAAGCCAGTGTTTCCCAATCTGGTCAATGGGGACCTAAAAACAGTCCATGTTTGCTCAAAAACGTTTCCTGTCTGACAGGGAGCTGGGAGGTAGCAGAAATATGGACCGGCTATGGGTCCCCCAGGACCGGATTGGGAAACACTGCAGTAATCCCTGATCTGGTCGTTACGCGGGTACCGGAAGTGTCCCTGGGACGCGACTTTAGGATGGGCGTCTCTGAGCCTGGCCGCGCTCTGTCTTCACGCAGGAAGTTCTGGGAGAAGTTCATCTCCATCTGCCACGAGAACAGCAGCCTGCATGGGATCACCTTTGAGCAGATCAAGGCGCAGCTGGAGGCCCTGGAGCTGAAGAAGACGTACGTGCTGAACCCGCTGGCCCCCGAGTTCATCCCGCGAGCGCTGCGGCCCCAGCATGCACAGGGCCCTGGCAAGCAGCAGCAGCAGTCGCAGCAGCAGCATCAGCATCAGTCGCCCCCGAAGGTAAGACTGACTCCGCCCCCTCGGTGCGTCACAGCTGCTGATTGGTGCGTGACCAGTGTGGCCCGCCCCCTGTCTTCCCCAACCACAAATAGTTTGTCTTCGAGAACCATTTATCGCCTGTTGAACATACTTTTGTAGGTATGTCAGAACATAAGGGGCATTTCGCTCTGTCGTTAGTGGAGCGGTTAATGGGAAATAAAACTTAACTCAGGTGTTTGCCTGATACCTCGTTAGTAGCAGCCTTTTAATAGTGAAGGTTAATGGTGGCACGACAGCTGGCAGGCTGCGCGAGCCGTGCACGTTTGGGCCCCGCCTCCTCCGCTCTGATTGCATCTCCCCATCAATAACACACGCCCCCCCCCCCCCCGGAGAGCTTTGTCAACACGATCCTTTCTTCACATGCATAGCGATGTTCAGAGCATGGCAGAGTTCACTGTGCAGCTGACCTCTCCCGGGCTCTGGTCAAAAATGACACGAGTGTTTCCGTGAACGCTGCCGGGACAGCTGTCGGGGTCGGACGTGAGTACGCCACTCTCATGGAGGCCCCGGGGGATTGGGGGGGGGGGTAGGTCAGTGGGGGATTACAGTGTAGGCTAGCCTTGACCAAGGCAGTTAACCCATTGAAATGGAGCTGGCTTGGGCGTGTTGATCTGAGTGGTTGAGGTCAGACTGAAGGGGCTTTCCTCTCTGCCCGCCATCGGGAATTCACACGGCGATCTAACGGGCCGGGGAAGTGGGGGTCGCCACCTTGAGCCAAGACACCAACATCAGACAGTGACAATAACAGCAGTCAGTACGTGGTTGTATTGTCACACAGGAGCCGATGGAGATCTCCGCCGTGGCGTTAGTCACAGCCGACTCGCGGCCCCCTATTCTGCTGCCGCCTTTGCCACATGCCTGCGGAGCGCGGTCTGGTCTACAGACAGACCCTGCGTGTGAGTGTGTACGGTGTGTGTGATGAAACGCGTTCCCAGGCAGCCGGCAAAGCCTTACACCTCTCTGAGATAAATTCCAGTCGCTAGCCTGTTTAATAAAACATGGCAGGAACTGAGTTAGACTCCAGAATCGCAGCACCCGCTCCTCCCCCCCCCCCGCTTCGACATCAGCCTTTTTATCGTGAGAAAAGGTACAACGAAAGAAAACAAAACGGAAGGAGGCTCTGAAGCTGCTGCTTTAGCAGATGAAAGGTTGGATAGTTTTCAGTGCTACGCCTCTGCAATCACGGCGCGGAGGAACAGGCTGATTCCGGCGAGTTTGCCAGCCGGCGCAGGATCTGAAAAGCCTGACTCTTACCTAACAATACTGACTCCTGTGCTAAATAGTGACTTCCGTCACCCCCCCCCCCCCTCTTGTTACTTCATCTTTGTAGATTAAGTAAACAGATTTTCCTCTTCCTGGTCTTTGGGTTGAATAGTGAGGGTAGCTTCGTGCTGCTCTGGAGAGGATAATTAAGGAGGTATTTCCGCTGGAGTGCTCTGTGGGGGGTAGCTTGGCCGTTCTGTGTTGTTCTAATGGCCCCTGCTTGTTTGCCCCATAAAGCCGCTGTCGGCTTGTACTCGCATGTGACAGCTGCGTCCCCCAGACAGCAGCCTGCTTTATGCAGCTCGCTCATGCAGCCTTATTAAAGCCGTGAGCCGCGGCATTACTGCTAACATGGCACCACTGTAAATGTTGCGGGGGCGGATTGGCCGTATGGCCGGGGTGCCACGCTGTAGCAAGTTCGTCGGTGTTTACCGCGAGAGGCACCTGGCCTTTTGGCGAGATCTGTTTCTGGATGGCGCTACAGTACCGCATGGGCCTACTCCCCCCCCCCACACAGTGCTAAAAAGGCATGAGCACGAAGGCATGGCAGAATCATTGCCTCCGTTTGATCGATTTCATCCATGTTAACTTAAAACCGAACTGCAGGCCTCCTTAGAGAGATCAGGATAACGGACACTGTAAGACTTGAAAATCATTTCTGCCATCAGTGTGGCTCGGGCAGGGTTAGGGTGCGGCTTTTGGGTCGTGAGGCTGTGAAATCACATTCTTCTAGGCAGAATGATGATAATTAATAATATGCTTCTTTATTTTTGGCACAAAATGTGACTGAGTAAAGTTTCCTTCAGTGTAGTTTCAACAAATGTTTCAAGCTGTTGGTGAGATTTGAAATTTTTTTGTTTGTGTGTTTGGGACATAAATGGCAATTAAGCCATTTAGAAACGCCACAGAAGGACACAAATGGGTATAATCAGAAGTAACAGATTGAAACCATCCGTGCTTTCAGTCGCGTTCGCGAAGCCTATTAAAGCAATTTGTAATCTCCCAAGAAGTCTTCCCTTTCTGTGTCTGCTCCCGCCCTCCCAGCCAAGCTGCCGACGGACTCCTGCACGCCTTGCGATCGCAGCTCAGTGTCTTGCCAGCTGCTGGTGATTAGGGCTCGCACGCCCAGGGGGAGGGGCTCGCACGCCCAGGGGGAGGGGCTCCCACAGGCGTCTTTATTTAATAAACATGCTCTTTCCCAATGTATCGGCCTGGCTGATCTTCGGTAGCTCAAACTTGCTCTGACTTTGTTTCTCTCCGCCTTCCAGGGTAAAGGGCAGCATCCAAACCAGGCTGAGCACTTTCCACCTGAGGGATTTGGTGAGTTTTACCCCCCCCCCCCCACAAAAATACTCATAGTATCCCCCACCTCAAAAAAAAATAAACATTTGTATCAAACTGCTTATCCTGTTCTGAAGAATTCATTATTTTGATGAAGCTGATCAAACCCAGATGCTCCTGCATGATGAGGAGGAGTGGGGAGGAGTGAGGAGGAGTTGGGCTTCCCTGCAGGACACACCCTGTCCTCCATTTCCCGCTGATGTCATGTGACCTGTCTGTCCTGTACTGTTATTCACCTGCGGACGTGGCAGTGTCCAGGCACCAGTGTTAATTTTGACAGCAGATTTCAATTTAGTTTTAGTCATAGTCTTTTGACTAAAATGCAATTTTAGTTTTAGTCATATTTTAGTCATCTGTTTTGTTTTAGTTTTAGTCTAGTTTTAGTCGACTAAAAAGCATAAGATTTTAGTCGACTAAATCTACTGTAGATTTAGTTGACTAAAATATATTGGGTTTAGTTTAAATGTAATTTAGTTAAACCGTGGTAATATACAAAATATTCTAACTTAAAATTAAATAAAGCCAAGTCTCATTAAATATGTGGAATATCGTCTTTCCATAAAAACCAAAAATTAGATATGCATTGTTTAGAACTTGCATATGACATTCTTCATTCTGTAAAGCAAAAGTGCAACTCCAAATTATTTAAAAGAAAAACTGTATTTGGCAGTAATGCCATTGCAAATACTGCATGACCTGAAAAAATTATCTTGCAGATGTCGCTTTAGATTTGTTGTATTTTTACCAGCGATTTCCGCTCCACACGGTTTACACAAGGTCTTGTTTGTCTTGACATCAAACGTGAAATTATTCCATATACCTTCTCTTCTTTTTCTCCCAGCCATTGCCATGTCATTTTAGTTTAAGTCAGACAGACACCCACCAATGTATGCAAGATGTACTGTCGCATCTCGCGTCGCAAGGTGAATCAGTATCTTAATTTTCCAAATGTGCGTGTGCGTCTCACCGCGCCACGCACCAAGATTAATTCTGATTGGATCATTTCCAAAAACGTCCCTCACTCACATTTTCGTCTCGTTTTTATTAGTTAACGAAAATGTCAATATATTTTTATTATAGTTTTCGTCATCATCACTTAATTTTTATTTAGTTATCGTCTCGTTTTCGTCAGTGAAAATTTGTCGTTGACGAAAATTATAACGAAAATATTTCGTCAACGAAATTATCACTGCCAGGCACAGTACATAGCGTATTATGGGGGGGTGTCTGATGTGCGGGCTGACTGCTGGGACACCTCAGGCCATCTCACGGGGAGACTCCCTGCGGGGAGACCCCGTGCCGGGAGACCTTGCAGACTCCCTGGGAGACCCCGTGCCAGGAGACCCCTTGCAGTGCCAGATAAAGACACTGCTAATCAGCATCAGCTCTCAACCCCCCCCCCTTCTCATATAACAATGAACTTCCAGTAAACCTTGTACTAATTACCTGATCTCTCTTCTTGATTCCAGTTCAACCCAGTCCAGCAGTGCTGATGGGAAACCCCATCCGCGCCTTTACACCACCCCTTGGGGGCAACCCAGCCATGGGCAAGTCCCCCAGCCCGGTCCAGCGGATAGACCCCCACACGGGGGCCAGTATCCTGTATGTCCCTGCCGTCTACGGGGGGAACATGGTGATGCCCGTGCCTTTGCCCGTAAGTTTACCCAAGACTCATCTTTGCCTCTTCTCCCCCTGGTGTGGTGGTTAAGGGCGCCGACTCATAAACTGCCCCGGGAAGGAGTCCTGCTGTTGTACCCTTGAACTTGTATGGGGATGTTAAATGGAGGATGTGAGCACGGGGTGTCTAGGTCAATCAGAGCCTTGGTCTCTGACTCGGGTGCTGAAATCAGAACGTACTGACAGGTGTTAAAGCCGCACCGTGTCACTCAGCCCGTAGGGGCCAGTGTGTGTTGAGGTGGAACAGGACTTTTTCTGTTATCAAAAGTGAATATGGTTCAAATGTGGAATCTGGCAGTGACTAAGGAGGCTGTAGTGGAAGGTCCCCTGGTGTCTGACCGCTCCCCACCCTGTGCAGTTGCCCTGGCCCGGATACCAGAGCCGCTTCGCCGTGGACCCGCGCCTTGTCAACCACCCAGCCGCCGTGGCCTACGGGATGAACCTCCTGCAGGCCCACAGCCGGGGCTCCCCCGTCCCGTACGGGGTCGGCCACACCTCGCCCCTGGGCCCGTGTCAGCAGTCCAGCCCCGACAAGGAGCTGCAGCCCGAGATCAGCCGCAACGGTACGGCGGGGTGGCTGGGGGAGGGGGGGCGGAGCTGGCGGTCCACACGCTGTTCGCAAGCCTCACCTGCGGCGTGCCGGCCTGTTTCAGGGAAGGCAGACGGGGCTGTGAAGACGGAACCGGGCCGGCTGCAGACACCGGAGTGCAGGGCACTGGATGCGAAAGACAAGCAGGTGCCTAATCCCTCCGCCTCAGGCCGGGGGGGCTCCGTATTACTATAAAACGTCCTTAATTATCTCCCCTTCGCTTTAATTATAGATTCCGTTAATGAAGCAGTTTGTTTCCTTTAGATTTCGAGGTCACGGCAGAGCGTAGGCTATCAGTACAGTGCTGCCCATAAACAAACATGCTGTGTTATATTAATTTAATATGGTGTTACTTCATATAAGCTTGTGTTCACCCCCCCCCCCCTCCAGGGAGAACCAGATGCAGGTCAGAACCGGAGTCCAGAATCCCAGGACGGTGTTGGATTCCTGAACAATCGGCTTCCCCGGAAGGACAATCTGGGCCCGAGGCCCCTGAATTTCCACCTGGCCCCCCCTAACGCTACGTTCCCGCCACACCCCGGCAGCAGGCAGTTCCCGCACCCGTACCCCCTTCCCCGGCTGCCCTACAGGGGTAGCCTGCTCCCTCAGCATGCCAGCCCCGCCCCCCAGCCCCCACAGCACCCCCCCCACTCAGCACAGCTGTCTCCCGCCTTCCCAGTAGGCCACGCCCCCTCTTTCTTCAACGCCTCGCTGCCCCATCGGGGCTTGCAGTCCCCCAGCCCTGAGGCCTTGACCGGAGAGCACCCAGGGCCCGATGAAGTGGCCGGCCCCCTGCGTCCCGTCCCCCAGCAGCTGGGCCATGCGGCGCTGCCTCAGCCGGGCCGCGCGGGCGGCTTCATGGAGGAGAACGCCGAGGTGGTGCTGGGAGACGGCCTTGGTACGGGGGCATCGAGAACCGGCTACTCAGTCATTGTGTATGAAAGGCATCGTGTCGCTTTAACAGAGCCACTCTCCCTGCCTTCAGACATGCAGGGGCCGTGTGCCCTGGAAGCCCTCGCCCAGCAAGCGCGGCTCAGCCAATGGAGCGAGCATGGCCACTTCCTGCCGGGCGGGGTGGCCTTTCCGCTGCCCCCGCTGGCCCAGCCCAGCCTGCGCTTCCCTACTCAGCTGCTGCGCCCCGGGGGCTGGAGGCTGGGCGCCGAGGACGAGGCCAGCCTGCCGTTCCCTAGGTAACCTCCGCGTCCCTCAGGACGAGGCCCTCGTGATTTGTGCAGAAAATGACATTTTAATATTCACTGGGAGAACATGAACAACTCACACACACACACACACACAGTAGCACCCGAGTAGGGATGGGATTTGAACCCACAGCCCTGGGTTCAAATCCCATCCCTACTCGGGTGGTGTGTGTATGCCCTGTGCTGCCTGGGATAGGCTAAGATGTCAGGGTTACCATTTACCAAACTGAAAAAGGCACATCATTGGCTGATGTAATCGGCGTGATGATGTAATAGGCGTGATGATGTAATAGTCCGGCTGCCTGCCCACCCCCGTCTCTGTGCAGGTTTCCCAGTTTGCTGCGAGAGATGGCTTCCCAGGAGCCGGGCGAGCAGAGGGACCCTGCCGAGATGCCCCCCCCTCAGTCACGCCTGCTACAGTACCGGCAGGCTCAGCCACGCAGCCCCGGGGAGCTCCCCTCCCCTTCCGCCGCCTCCAACCACGCCGGCCCCTTCCCGGGACACTTCCCGGGCGCCGGGCGGGAGCTGGAGATGATCAGCAGCCAGGCGCTCCAGCAGATGTACAGCCCCACCTTCGGCAACCCGCCCGGCCGCTCCAGCCCGCCCCCACTGAAGTACCACCACACGGAAGGCCAGTGGGCCGCGGGCCACGCGCTGGGCCAGGCGTTCCCCTTCAGCCTGCCCGTCATGGCCCTGCGGCAGGAGCAGGTGCAGCTCATTCAGCAGCAGCAGAAGCAGCAGGCACCGGCTCCGGCCCCCGAAGCCTTTCACCCGCTGTCCCCGCGCTCCATGGCCGCCAGCTCCCTGCACACCATAGACGAGGTGAGGCCAGCGACGGCCAGGCTCCTCTGCCCTGTACGTGACAAAGGACGTGTCGCTCTCCTCACGGACATCCTGCTTTTGCCGATTTCGTGTCCCTGGGTCAACAAGGGAGGGGCTCGTGTTTCACTTCTTTAACAAATAAGTCTTCATTCATTGTATTTTCTCATTTTCAAAGTCGAGCCGTTGAGCCGAGGAGTGTGTGTGTGGGTCAGTGAGCTAAACCTTTGTGCTTGTGATCGATCGGAAGGTTGCCAGTGTAAGCCTTGTTTTTTATTATTGTTATTGTCATTATTATTATTACTATCATCATCACCATGAAATAAATATACACCCTGACATGGCTCCATACAGCCTTCGCTGGTAAGCATGACTGCCATTGGTTAAAGAAGTGAACGATAAACCCCTCCCTTGTTAACCCAGAAACACATTGAATTCTGCAAAATCAGATCGTGCCTCTCCTGAGTACCACCCCCCCCCGCCTCCGCATTTCCAGCCCTGTCTTATCTGAACTTGCCGTCGACTTGAAGTCGTCTTGCGGCGGCAGCCTTGTCCAAACGGGCGCCTCTTTCAGACAGAAGGCGACGCGGCCTTAATTTTTTTGCCGCTAGCTGGCTTCCTGCGTGAATTAATCAGCCTTCAGTGTTATTAATTTTATATGACGATGCGAAATGAATAAATGACCTGCCCCATTGTTCCGCATGCTGACTCTGTGGGCCGGCGATTGCATAAGTTAAAGGAGGGAGCCCGCATGATGAATCGGGCAGAATGTCACCGGATTCATGTGGCTCTCATTCGGTTTGAGGGCTGAGCAGCTGGCGCGGGTTCGAGGGTGGTCTTCCAGGCAGCACGCGTATGACTGCGCAGACAATACAGCTGCATTGTAGGTGGGGGAGGGGATTAGCAAAGGGGTGCTGTTAGTCAACACACCCGTGTAGCTGGGGGTGACTTGGGCACCGCAGTTTGCTTTGATATGTGATCAAGCAGTAGAGTGTCATGTTTTCTGCTCGCTCTACAAATCTATTTGTGAGAGAGTCTGCTTAGGAATGGATTCCCAGGAAGCTCGGATTCACTGGAATGTCATTTTAAACAACTGGAATCCACGATTTCCCCTGAATTTTTCTTCATAGTAAGAATGTACCTGCTGGGTGTGTCACTGAAAATACCCCCATACAGCACAAATGAAAGTTTTGGGCTGTAACATGCATATGTCTATATACATATGTTTGTATGTATATCTGCTTAGGGAATGTGCTGGTTTCTGTTACATATTTCTCATCTCCTCACTGTCACTGAATGCATTAGCCTGCAGGCCTGGAATTCCTATGCTGGCTGTGTGACTGAGGACACCAGGTCTGGTTAATCCTCCTCCTCTAGCTTTATGTGTACGAGAGCAGCTACAAGTTTGAGCTCTCGGGTTCAGGCTGTGTGCGTGTGTGTGTGTGTGCGTGTGTGTGCGTGCGTGTGTGTGTTCGCGTGCTTGTGAGACAGTCTGGCTGTAGGTTCTAGGCGCACCTGTCCATGCACGCACCCGCCGAGCTGACAGGCGTCTTCATGGGAAAACCCACTGGGCGAGAGCTTAAAAAAAAAAACCGAATCCCACCTCCTCAGACTGCCTCTTCGGAGCTCTTCCCGCTTCGCTTGCAGGCTTTAAAATTTCATAACTGTCATTTCCGCAACTTGTCAGCGAAGCCGTCCAGTCAAAATACCTCCGCCTTTAAGTCATTCATCCGAGACGTCTCACGCGGAAGCTTCTGATTGGCTGTTGGAAATGGAACGGCCGGCCTCGCCTGTAACGCATTTGTCATCGGCCGTTTTACGGGGAAATAAAAAGACAATCGCTTGCTGAGGAACTGCTGTATTCAAAGCTTTTACCTCGAAATTTTCCCAACTGCGAATATCTTAGCAGAGGCAGTGGCTTCGTGGGGGCGCAGAGGCAGCGTGCGGATGAGGAGGACCGGCTGAAACCCCCCAGTCACCCCGTCTGGGCTTTTTGAGGAGCTCTGGGGAGGGCAGCGGCCCCCTGAACTCAGGGTTAATGCGCGATGGCCCTCCGCCGCTTTCAGCCTCCTTTAATCCCATGGTGCTTAGCTGAGGTAATGCTGGGTAAATTGGCCCGGAGCGGCTCCTAGTGAAGGACTTAAAGGTGTATGAAGTTTAAACCCCAACGCGACTCAGACACAGTCTGTCTCAGATTCTGCTCTCACCTGATTTATAAGACCGCCTTTGCTGCTGGGCCGTGTAACACTGTTGTGCTGCTGTTGAGGGGGGGGGGGGGGGTGAGAGTGTAGGGGACAAAGGATGGATGTTTACCCAGAGTGTCCCTCCTCCGTTTGTGTTTTTTTTTTTTTTTTTGGACAAACATGATGCTCATTCTATTATATATTTTTGCCATCTGTTATATTTCGCCTTGTGCAGTTGTTAAATTGGTATTTTTTTAAGCGTATGCTTAACATAAGGGAAAAATTTAACCCTTTTCGGAGGGTAGCGACGAAGGTTTGTCAGCGTCCCCAGTGAGAGGGCATGTCTGCCAGCCTGCCTGTCTGGCTGCTCCTGGCCCGCGCTCCTCCACACCTCCGTGGGGAGGGAGCGTCACTTGCAGTGAACGGCCAACAGTACCGGCAGTGCTGAGATTGCAGGGAAAGCGTGGGGGGGGTGTCCACGGCAGCTACGCCAGGGCGCCATGAGACGGAAGACTGCGTGATGCCCCCTGTCGCCAAAGCCCCCGGTTCCACTGCGATGGAATTCCACGCTGCGTGGACCGTGGTCGATGAAGGTTCGAGCCGTCTGCTCCCGTTTCCGCTGCAATCGCGTCCCTGCAGGCGGCCTCCAGCCAGAGGCTGAACACGGCTGGATATGAACCAGCTGTAAGAACGGGGATTATGTGACTCAGAACTAGGCTGCCGATTGCCTCCCCCCCACCAGTTCTGACATAAGCCATGAAATGACTCAAATAATGGAAGTGAAATGATAAGACCCAGATTTCCTGATTCTCCCTGTCACTTCATCTGTTCTTTCCTCTCTCTCCCTCCTTCCCTCCCTCCCTCGCGCAGTATGAGCCCCGGGGGCCCGGCAGGCCGCTCTACCAAAGGAGGATCTCCTCAGGCTCCTCGCAGCCATATCCGGACGATGCGGGAAAGACCCAGGGAGCAGAGGCGCCCTGCAAAGAGCCGCAGGACCGCACCAACCTCTTATATGGCTACCCATCGACGGAGCGCTGGCCCGGCAACGGAGCCCCTGTCTCCTTCCAGAACATTCCATGCAACGGAGCCACTACACTAGTTCCGCACCGGGACCTTTTCGGTAGGTGATAGGGGGCGCCGTAGAGCTTTGGGTTCGGGTCCGAATTCAGCCCCACAGCAGTGCATGTGTGTGCTTCACAGGCTGTAGAGTTTTCATTAGGATTCCCCCGGCGTTTCAGTGTCCCCTGCCCCACCCCCCCCCCCAGTCTTTATGCACAGGGGTGTCTATGCACAGGGGTGTCTATGCACAGGGGTGTCTATGCACAGGGGTGTCTATGCACAGGGGTGTCTATGCACAGGGGTGTCGGTGAGAGGTGTCATGGTGGGTTTCTGTCCCTGGTACATTTTAAGTTAAACCCTTAGTTTCCTGGTAGAGGCTCTGATTCACTGGGTGAGTGAACAGAGACCAAACACAATGGCATCAGATGCTAGTCTAAGTCTGTAGTCAAGGGTCCATCAATAACTTCACGTCTGGGCTAATTATCTTAACAGATTCATTGTGTTTCTTCCGATCAGGATGGAGTGGGTAGTTCCTGCATTCTGATGTCTGCATCTCTCCTGCCAGGTCCCATTTAAGGCTGGCTCCTCTTGGCGGCTACTCAGAGGCGTGATTAAATTAGGCCCTGACAAGCCTATCAAGGGACTGTCCTTTCTGATGATGTTACAAACGGCAACCGTGGCAATGGAAAAGAAAAGGGGGATTCTCTGCCTGGCCGCTTTGTCTTTTTAAATTTATTAATTTTCTTTTTGGTCAGCTTCTCCATGCACGGGGCCCTGTTCGGCTCCGGCTCAGGAGTTGGCCTGGAGGGCCGAGGTTTGGTTTAGTGCAGCCAGTCTATTCCTCGGCGCTTTGCTCCAGAATGATATGAATTGTTAGCTGGCTGGAAGTACCAGTTGCTGATATAACCCTCCGTACTGTTTCGGTTTAGCTGTTCTTTTATGGTTAATGGTAACGATGCTTTTAATTCCTGTCCCGGAAAATCTATGGTGCCTCCCTCGTTCAGGCTTAGTTCTCCCTCGTTCAGGCTTAGTTCTCCCTCGTTCAGGCTTAGTTCTTAATCACTCTTGATTAGGCTGTAATCTAGATTTTTCTCACAAAGCCTCTAAGCAACAGGTGCTGTTGGGCTAAACTGTAGTTTTCATTAACGCTGCAGTCAGATATAACCTGGTCATAATTTAGTTTATCGGAGAGCCTCGAGCGAAACCATGCAAAGTGGAATTCAGCATCAGGAATATTAATCAATCATTGATGATGCTAACAATTAAATATCCATTAATAAATAAATAAGCGAACATTAATTCAGTGAAACCGCATTAAAACTGAATTAGTTTTAGCATCCCTTATTAAGGGGCGCACATTTTTTTAGGAACAGAAAAAAATCTTATTTTTTGTCACTGCAGATACAGCTCTATCAATATCCTTTATGAACATTTCATAACTGTCTGGATCTGTCAGATTGCATTAAGACGTGTCTGTCAGCCGAGCTGCGACCGATAGCGAGTGTTGCGTGTTCCAGTACTGGATATTAGCTGTAGAGAGAGCGCAGTAAGAGCCTGTCTCCGCCCCCCAACCCCCCCCTCCACCTCCCATCATTGACCTGTCACCCTTTTCTTCCCCCCCCTCCCCCCCATGAAGCAGCTTCAGCAAAGGCAATGCGTGAGGCCGAAGATCCCCTGAAGGCAGACAGCCCCCAGCCGCTGGTGCACTCCCTCGGCCCCCTCCAGCACCTCGGACAGTTCCCCCCCCTCCTGCCCAGCAAGCAGCAGTCTCCTGACCCTGGCGGTGGACCCGAGGGGCCTGGCGCGGGGGCCCTCCAGGGTCCCGGCCTAAACAAGACCCACACAATGTCATACGCCAGCGCCCTCCGCGCCCCCCCCAAACCCAGGCCTGTACCTGAGCAGGCCAAAAAGAACAGTGACCCCCTATCCTTATTACAGGACCTTAGCATAGGCAGTGCAACAAGTAGCAATGGCTATTATTCATATTTTAAATGAGCATAGCAAGTGGGCATCTCAACAAAAAAGACAAAAAAATAGTAAAACTTTATTTAAAAATCAGAAAAAGTCCTTTTAAAAGTTGTTTTTATAGATAGATGATGAATTAGTAATGGTCTTTTCTTTTACAGTTTGAAATATGTGATTAAAAAGGCAACGTGTGTATATGTGTATATATATATATATATATATATATATATATGTGTGTGTGTATATATGTGTATATATA